CACGGTGGTGGTCCTGGATGGCTGAGATCCGGAGAGCACTGGGCTCCCTCAAGCCTCTCTGTTTGTCCCCCTAGCCAGAGAAGGAGGAGTAATGTGGACTTTGATGAGAGACCTGGGCCTGAACATAAATGTTTAACCACTGGTTCTCTGGGGGTAAAAAAGCCTATATCCATACTTAAGTTTATTATAAATTTTACTGATATTAAGGATGTGCAGTAAATAATTTACAAATAACAATAAAATATACAGTATTCCTTATTGCAAATTCCATATAGCCAATTGATTCTCACAGAATGCTTTCACTGATTTTTGCCAAACTCTTATTTCTGTAGCCCACCTATGTTTGGAATTGACGAACAGGATAGTTTGGACATGAATGTTGGCTAACATTTTCCATTAAGGGGAAAATGAAAAGGAAAAAGATTAAGACGTACGTCAGAATTTCACTCATTCGTTCATGATATGAGGAACTTGTTTTCAGATACTTGAATTCTGCCTCAATTTTTTGTGGTACTCACAATATTACTACTACAAATACAACACACACTTTTATATTTAATCTTCACTTTAACATTTTCTCCATCACTTTTTTTTTATAATTTTATTTATTTATTTATGTTTTCCCCCAAAGCCCAGGTAGATAGTTGTATGTCATAGCTACACATCCTTCTAGTTGTTGTATGTGGGACGTGGCCTCAGCATGGCTGGAGAAGCGGTGCGTCGGTATGCGCCCGGGATCCGAACCTGGGCCGCCAGCAGCGGAGCGTGCGCACTTAACTGCTAAGCCCCGGGGCTGGCCCTCCATCACTTTTTAAAATCTAGATCAGAGGTTGGCAAACTGTGCCTTATGGGCCGAATCTGGCCCCCTGACTATTTTTATAAATAAAGCCTTATTGGAACACAGCCTGTTTGTTCATTGATACTTTTGCCTACGTCTGCCTTTGTGCGACAACTGCAGAGTTGAGTAATTGCAACAGACTGTGTGCACAAAGCTGAAAATATTTACTATTCTGGCCTTTATAGAAAAAGATTGCCAGCACTGATCTAGACAATTAACATAACAATAAATCAACCCCAGACATGTAGCATTTGCCAATTTCTGTGATGTAAATAATTCCCTCATTGCTGATTTTAAGCTACCAATGTACTGTTACTATGTATGCAGAGTTGGGAAGAGATGCTCAGAAGCACACTGTATGTGTAAAATAGACATAACCTCAAGAGCCCAGATAATAGCAAAATGTAGAGAAATATTTAGTGATGTTTTGCATATTATCATCTCTATTGTTCATATAATTTTTTATCGTTAATATAATTTAATTGTAAGTTTATATAATTTAATTTTTAATAATGGCTGGGTTTAATAACTGGCTCACAGAATTCCTGAAAATTTAGCAACCAGCTCTCATGAGTTGGTTCAGCACACTCCAGCATGCTCCAGCACACCACTGAACTCCACCTGCTGTACCACCAAGGCCCAACCACTTCACCTCTCCACCAGAGGGGGCATCCAACAGGGTGCTGGCCAAGCTGAGGGAAAGGGCCCCAGCCCATGTCCTTCACCTTGTCTCCCAGGCACCTCTACCTATTGGGTATCTGAGACTGTCCACTCAGTTTTCAAAGTCTTTGACGTCTCTTGCTTTGTCTTTTAAAATATATGTAGTTTGCTTACAAATTTTTATAACCAAATTTTAGCGGGGGGTTGGGGAGAACATATATGACTTTTGTGTCCTGTTTGTTGCAAGATAGCTCTGGACTGCCCTGAGCAATGTGCAGGCAGCCCATTCCAGTTCTCCCTCACCCACACATTGGCTTCAAAGAATCTTAGTCCATCTTGTCCGCAAAAATAAAACAGCTAGTTATTTTACCAGCAAAATGGGTTTATTCAGAATAACAGAGGAATTGCAACTCACACAAGCAAGCTGTAGCAAAAGCCACAGGCAAGTTCAGCAAAGGAGAGGAATGTTACTTCATAGAGAAAAGGAGGAGGTTGGGAGGGGTTGTTATGAAGGAAAGTCCATTGGAGGAAAGTGCTAGTTCAGAGGGATAAGGGTTTCCCATTGGCTGGGCTTGTTGTTGGGCAAGGAGATTCTTCCTGTTGTAGTCTGTTATTGACACCTTCCTGTTGGGGTCTGTAATTGCCTGAGGGCTCCCCCTTCTGGCCTCCCCACTCCATTTTAAATGAGGTTTACTTTTTTCTTTTTCACACCCTTAATACCAGGCACATAAAAAAAGGAAAAGAGGACTATTTGTTAGAGATTCCAAAAGAAAAAGATTAAAGTGGTACCAACTGCTCATCCCTCATCTGTGACCCCTGGAGCCAGGGTGAGATGCCCCCACAGCGCCAGCAGCCTTCTCCTTGGGATGGGTGTCTCTCATGGGGTGCTGGAGACGCTTTCTGGAGCATGGCTCAGCTGTGTGGTTGCCAGCTCTCCTCTCCGAGGAAAGCCAGGGGACTCAGTCAGGATCACACGCAGCCTCTAACCAAGGCTCATACTTTTCAGAGTGTCCTCTCCAACCCCCATCCCTGTTCATCAGAGCAAGACTTGGTCCCTCAAGGGAAGGTTCCCTTCCCCCCTCATTCTTCCCCCATTCTAAGAGAGTGGTTCTCTCTCTCATCGGTTCATTTCCCCCTCAGAGCAGTAGACGTCTGCTTAGCATCATTGGCTGGGCTCACTTCCCTTACCATACTTGGGCAGACAAGTTAAGGAAATCTGAGCAATTGAGCTCAGAGTTTTTCAGATTTGACACCATTGACATTTTGGACTAGATAATTCTCTGTTGTGGGGGGCTATCCTGTGCATTGTAGGATGTTTAGAAGCACCTTGGCCAGTAGCACCCCACATGTCTCAACAATCAAAAATGTCTTCAGACATTGCCAAATATTCCCTGAGTGCAAAATAGCTCCCGGCTGAGAATCACTGTTTTAGTTAAACCAGGACAGTTATCTTTGATTCTGTCTCATTCTGAGCCAAAATTTAAATATCATTATAACTAATATCAATATAACTTTTACTTCTGTTTCCAAGCGAAGAAATACATAGTCTAGGTGTCATCACCTCCCCCCCGGCACACACTTACCACTAGCAATGGAGTTCTTGTTGCCATCTGACTGGTGAGCAGCCTAGTTCCAGAATTCTACCTTGAGGGCTGCTTTCTGGGGCCACTCTTGGTACCAATATGCCTTAGTGTGGGTTCCTCATCTGAGTCCTTTGTTAGCAAGTGTGAGTCCAAAGACCAGGAGTGAAGGACAGGGATTGTAAAGCAGAGAAGGAAGGACAGCCATTGCAAGGATGCGTTATCAATTGGCCACTTGCAAAGGCACGTGGTTGCTTGACCCTGCAAGAGAGTTTGAAAGCTATATGAAATATGTGAGGAGAGTCTATCTGAGGGGAAAGAGAGAAGCATGTATTCATCAGTTGTTGACTCCGTTGGTCACAGATTTAACCACTGCCCGCCCCAGCACTTCTGGGTTGCACCTGTCCTGGTGCTGAGTGGCGCCAGCAGTCCCATGACCCCATGATATCCAGACGCAGCCCCGATGCAGAGGGTGAGAAGCCTGAAGCACGAGCTGTAAGTGAAGCTCACTTAGGTTATACCTGCTGAAGCTGGAATAAGATCGGTGGTGGGGAAAGAAGCAGCAGGCGAGGCCAAGAGAGTCTGAAATGGGGCATAAGAGGTGTTTGAAACACTTGCACACCTGAATTTGCGCACTGAGATTCAGTCCTGGTACATATTCATCCAAAGTACCATGCACGTATTCTAAGCATCAGCTTTCTCTTTAGAATGAGGACAATCACCTCAAGCTGTCAGGATTGTTCTGAAAACTAGAGATCCTGCATGCATAAAACCTGATCATGATGGCAGTTCGATAAATACACTGTGTGCATGTATATTATTATTATTATTATTAGTCAGATTATTATTATTAGTCAGATGTAAAGTCTTTCCGATTGACCACAAGGGCCCAGTGTGGCGAGGCCAGTGACCAGTTCCACCTTGTGTGAGAGGTGAATTTGGCTTCTGCTGCTCAGCCAGCCAGAACTTGTTCACTCTACAATTAGCTTTCAGTGAGCAACATCGCGTGCTTGGCCTTGGGCTGGGCACTGGGGACCCAGAGACCAGAATCATTGCTGATCCTTGCCCTGAAAGCACTCACAGGCTGGCAAAGATGGGCAAACAATAACAATTGACGCGGGACTATGGGAGCAAAGAAGTCCTGGGAGGCGACGGCAGGCTTTCCTAGGAGAGGAAATGCCACCCAACTCTCAGGGCTGTGGCTGTGCAGGCGTCAACCAGGCAAAGGCTGGAGGCAGGGCAGAGTTCCTCACCAGGGCCACCCGGTGCAACTCCACCGTGTTTACTGGGCGGGCCCCTGCCGTTGAAGGTGGCGGTCCGACGCCCTGGGGGACACCGGGGTGAGTGAGGCCAACCCCTACCGCCCCCCACCCCCCAACAAGGGGCATAAGGCAGACGGTCGCGGGAGTGAAGGGACAAATCACCACTTGCCGGGGGTGTCCACATGAACAGACGTCATCCTGCCTCGATCATTCATTCACAAACTCAGGAAGTAATGGACTCATTCACTCCCTCACCGGTTAATTAAATTTTTATGGCCAAAAGGAACGCGGGGGATTGATGACTTTTTTCTTTTGACAATCATCCTTTGTTACACTATTTTATATTTCAATAAGAAAAGAGGTATAAACAAACAGAAAGAAAACCCCACACTCTTGAGAATTCTCTGCGCTCCCCACCCCCCGCCCCGCCCTCGGTGGAGGCGAGCGGAGAGGGACCCTCTCAGCCCCGGGCCTCTCCGCCGGGCTGCGCCTGTCCCTTTAAGAGCCCGAGCCCCGCCCTCGGGAGGGGCGGCGGAGGGAGCGGGCTCTGGAGGCCGCCGCCCGCTGAGGTCTCCGGAAGCTTCGTCTCCCGGCGCGGCTGTCTCTTTAAGGAGGCGGGGCTCTGCCCGGAGGAGGCGGGGGAGGGGGGCTCCCGCCCCCGGATCTCCGGCTTCCGGCGCCTCGGCAGGACCGGAACCTGCGCGTAGCACCTGAGGCCCGAGCCTTCCCGGGCCGGTTGGACGCCGAGCCCTGCGAGGTGAGGCGGCCGGGTCTGCGGGGCTGGCCCGGGACTAGAGGGCCTGGGACCTCCTGCCCGCCCGGGCCGCGGCGGCCCAGCTCCTCCCGCTGGAACACTGCCCAGCTCCTCCCCTACAGCACTGCCTGTGCTGCCTGGGCGGCTCTTCCCCAGACCTTTTTGGGCTCAGGGTGCCCCGGGTTGCGGGGTCGCCATCACCCCAGCGCCTACTAATTGCTTGGCTGTGCACTAAGCACCTTACACTCCCCGTCTCATTTAATGGCCCCCAACACCGTGTGCGTAGGTGCCATTATGAACCCGTTTTACAGATGAGGAAACTGAGGCCCCGAGAAGCCCACAGTCTCACAACGAGAAGCAGCAGAATCGGTAATCAAACCCAGGTCTGTCTGACCCCAGAGCCTGTGCCCGTAACCGCTGGCTGGGCTGGACTGCCTTTGCTCTTCACTGCCCTCACAGCCTCCTCTCTCAAACCCCAGCCCGCCTTCCTCATCCCTCCATCTCCAGGCAGCACCTGGTCCCTAAACACATGATGGGTGAAATTGGATGGAACTTTTGGACCCTCCCCAATTAGTTTCTTTGTATACCAGTTTTAATAATATCTGATGCTAAATGGTTATCTTTACATAAACCTAGCAAAGCCCACTGAAACAGGAGGCAAGGGACAGCAGTCCCATTTCTAAAGCTGAAATAAGATGTGTTAGCAGATATTTTATTCTGGTGTCCTATTAAGTTTTTTTATTTTTCCCTTTCAGATCTCTGCAAATTTCCTTCGTAGTAACTGGGAGAAGGCCCGCTGGCTGGATGGCAGCTGTGGACGACCTGCAGTTTGAAGGTACATCAGCTGGGTGCCCACCCTTGTCCCTATGATCAGTATTTGTACAGGCACAGCAACAGATTTCCGTTGCTCTACTGGGACATCCATTAAAGAAGATTATTTCAAACATCTTGGTAAAGGAATGTTGACCACACCCAGGTTTTCTTGTTTGTCCACACCAGCTGTTCTTTTCTGCCCAATAGCTCTTCAGATTGGTAACGTCGTAAATTTAGTACAGTGATTACAGAAAAAATATATGGAATTTCTGCTTTAGTTCAACAGACATTTATTGAGCACCTACTTTGTACGTAGAACCGTACGAGATAGAGAAGAGAAAAGATAAAGGAGAAGTTTCTATACTGCTGGAGTAGATGAAAGTGTAAAAAAATAACTGTGATGAAATGTGATCGGATCATCCCTTCGTTGAATCGATAAGCATCTCTTGAGTGTGCCCATGAAACAGGCGGTTATCTAGTTATCAGGGATGGAAGAGTGAAGAAACAGGCAGGTTCTTCCCTTATGAAGCTGTCAGTCTAGTGAGGGGGACATTCATTTGTTAAGTGATTATTTAAACATATGCCTACAAACTCTGAAAGTGCTGGAGGAAAAGTTTACAACTCGTGACCCAGAGCCTGACGAATGCCTCCTTGTCTTGTAAACACTTGCGTAGCGCTTACTATGTGGCAGGCATTGTTCTAAGGGCTTTACAAATGTTAACTCGTTTGATCCTTATGTCATCTTTATGAAACAGTTATTTTATTCTCCCTATTTTACCAGTGAGGAAACTCAGAAAAATTAAGGCACAGAAAAATTAAGTAATTTGCCTGAAGGTCACATAGTTAGTAAGTGGTAAAGCAGAGTTTGAAGCCAGGCAGCTCACATTCACAACCTTGCTCTCTCACTACGATCTGAGGAGGAGAAATGATGTTTCAAGAGAAATCTATTTCATCAGCAAATACCGTCAGCTGCATCTTCACAATCCGTCCAGCGTCTGACCCACTTCTCACCACCTCTCCCACACCCCGCCGTGCTCAGTCACCGTCACCTCTTGTCTGGATTAATGCCCTCACCTTCCGTCTGGTCTTCTGCTTCCTCCTTTACCCCCTACAGTCGGTCTTCTGCAGCCAGAGGAGTCCTTTAAAACTAAGTCAGATCACGTCATTCTGTGCTGAGGAGGCCCTACGTGATCCAGCCTCCACTGCCTCTGATTTCGTCTCCCGCTACTCTTGCCCTTTTCCTGTCTGCCCTACCCACACGGTCATGTTCCTTCTAGACAGTAAGTACAGTCACGGATTGGGGCTTTTGTGCCATCTTTCTCTTTGGGACAGTCTTACTCCAGATAGCCACATGGCTTGTTCCCTCGCTCAGTTCAGATCTCACTTCATTAGAGAGGCCTTCCTTGGCCATCCTACCTGAGAACAGTGCGAGAAAGTTCAAGCATAGAGAACAGCCCATGCAAAGTACCTGAGGAGGGAGGAAGTTTGATTTTTTCCCCAAGGAATTGAAAGAAGGCCAGTATACCAGAGTGCAGATGGTGAGGGAAGCAGGTGACATCAAACCACAAGGTGACATTTGAGAGGAGGCAGGAGCCAGATCACACAGGACTTTTTTATAAACCATGTTAAGGACTTGGCTCTTTAGAAAAGAACACAGGACACTGTGGGGGTCATGGAAAGCTTCCCCAAGGAAGAGTGGTAGTGTTAGATGAGAAAGTGGAGATCAGGACCCTTCAGGTGAAGACACTGTGTCAGGAAAGGAACAGCGGCAAAACGTAGCATAGGATGTGCCAGGTTGTAGAAGCAGATAATGATGGTAGCAGGAACAAGAAACCCACCAGTCTTGCCCTCAAGGAGCTGAGATGGACAAGAATGACTAATACAGCACACACTGTGGGAATAGTCGTCCTGTGAGAGGTACACACGTCCTACATTCCTATCTGCGCTGTCTGCTGTTGCTCAAACACGGGACACGTTTTCCGTCTTCTGGGTCTTATTCATCCCATTCCCTTTGCATGAGATGCCATCCTTCTCATACGGCAGCTTCTCCAAGAAGGCTTTCCCAGTCCCATCAACTGGATGGTTATCATCCTCCCTTGAATCTCTTTGGCCTTTGTGCCTCTGAAGTGACACTCTCTGTTCCTCCTGGCATGCCCTCCCCCTGGTAAACTACTGCTTTTGAAATATGAGACTTAAGTATATCTTCCTTGGTCTGATTCCCTCAGGCAAAGTTGTGACCATCTTTTTAAGTGTCAGTGCCCTGTCAAGTCAAAGGATAGCTATAACAATATTTATTGTTATCGCATATCGTCCTCAAAATCTCTCTGTAAGGTAGGTATTATCTACCTTTTTGTAGCTGAAGAAGCAGAGACTCAGAGATACGGTGTAATTTGCCCAAGGTCGTGGAGCATTAGTCTCAACCTAAACAAAGGACCGTCTCCCTCCAGAGGCCACGCTGCTTTAACAGCCAGGACACTGGAGACTGAAGCTTGAGTAATTGTTACCTGTCAGCCACCTAATTAATTGTAGTTACTTTAGTTTTCTCCACAAAACTGTTTGCAGAGCTGAAAGGCTGTAAGGTGGGCTCAGTTATCCAAGAGCCCATCCCACTGCCAGGCGTAGGATTTGTGCCACACTGGCAGTGTTATCGTGGCGCCCTGCTGGTATCCTCCTCAGTCCTGCCAAATTCCCAAGCTGCCCTGAGTTTTATTCAAGAGCAGCTAAATAGAGTTTGTTAGGATGCCCAGAGACAGGAGGCCTCAGTCATTGCTGGCGGACCTGAACAGTGAGGTTCTTTTGGAAAGCAGTTACAGTATGGCTCAAGGGCCTTGAAAATGGTCTGCACCCTTTGACCTGGCGGTCGCACTGAAAGGTGTTCACCCTAGGGCTGTAACCCAGAAGGCTTTGTCTAGATGGGCACTCTTCACTGTGTTATTTGTACTAATGAAAAGTTGGAAACATCCCAAACATCCACTAACAGTGGGATAATTGTGTTAACTTATGGTGTCTCTCTCCTGCTCTCTCCACCTCCCAGCTGATGGAATATTGTGTAGCCACATAAATGATCATTGTAAGGACTGATATAATATGAAAAAATCGTTTTTATATTTTATATACTTTTATATAATCCCCGGTAGACAAAGCAAGATACAAAATTGTTTTCATAGTATTATCAGATCCGAAATCAGTACTTGGCCTGTTATTTTTGTTGTTGTTAGTGCCCTCGAGTTGATTTCAACTCCTGGCGCCCCTGTGCACGGCAGAGTGGAACGCTGCCTGGTCTTTTTGCGCCATCCTCTCACCTTCCAGCACTATATCAGTCAATGCTCCACTGCTATGCGTAGGGTTTTTGTGGCCAATTTTTTGGCAGTGGGTGGCCAGGTCCTTCTTCCTAGTCTGGCTTAGTCTGGAAGCTCTGCTGAAACCTTTTCACCATGGGTGACCCTGCTGGTATTTGAAATACTGGTGGCAGAGCTTTCAGCATCAGAGCAACGTGCAGCTGCCACAGTATGACAGCTGACAGATGCGTGGTGTGGTTCCTGACTGGGAAGTGAACCCCGGGCTGCAGCAGTGAGAGCGCCGAATCTCAATGGCATATTATAGGCACGGAGTAAATATTTGTTGAATGAGTGAATGATCCTCATTGGCATGAATCTTACTACATAGAGAAAAGGAAATATACCCAAAGTTAATGGTGTTTGCCTTTATGTGGTGGGACCAAGAGTGACTTTTTTTCTATGGTTTCTACTTTCGTTTAAGTCCCCATATTTTCTGTAGTGATTACATAGAACTTATTGGAAAAAATAACTTCCATTAAAATTTTTTGAACTTGAATCAAAGACGAGAAGTTTGGTTACTTACAACGGGCCAGGCACTCTGCTAAGGACTTTACTTAGGTGATAGTCTTACCTTTCCCCAAATTCTTTAAATATTGTTCTCCCCATTGTATAGATGAGAACACTGAGGCTTATAGAGATTAAGTTGCTTATTCAGACTCCTATTGTTAGTAAATAGCTGAGCTAGGACTAAAATCCAGGTCCAACTTCAAATCTTGCTGTCTTCATAAACATTTTTCTACGTCAGCTTGATTTCTGGATGAGATGTTTTTCAGAGCCTTCTGCCATTTGTATTACGGTCTATAGGAAAGCTGAGGTTAGAACAGCTTGTCTTTAAACTAAAGAGATGGAATTTCCAGGGTGGGTAAGGTCTCTGAGGCCCTTGTGCTCTAACTGGTTTCAGAATTTGGTGATGTAGCCGCTTCTCTAGCAGCAAACCCAGATGCCACCATGGTCAGCATCGAGGATCCTGGTGAAACCCCAAAACATCAGCCAGGACCCCCAAGAGGCTCAGGGAGAGAAGAGGATGATGAGTTACTGGGAAACGATGACTCTGACAAAACTGAGGTTTGAACTTGTCTTTGAAATTTTTTTTCTTTTAATTTTTAAAAAACTTGTTTATGCATTTATTCATTGTCTCCTGTGTGCCAGGTAGAGTGCCAAGCAGTGGCAACACGAAGGTAAATCACACGTGCCTTGGGGGAGAAACAGGTGAACAGACCATTGTTGCCCATGGGAAGCACGCGGGTGGAGGGGAGTTCTGGCTGTGGGAGCAGAGAGAAGGGGCTTACAGAAGGCTTCCTGGAGGTCGTGACACTTCAGCTGAGTCTTGATGAAAGAATAGGAGATAACCACAGGAAGAAGGCGGGGAAGGGTGATCGAGGCAAAGGGAACAGTTTCAGCAGAGTCACAGAGGCGTGAAAGAACATGGCACCGACAGCACACCTCCCATCTTCATGTACACGGGGAGCAAAATCGAGGTGAAGACAGGACTGAGGCTACACAGATAGGCCAGGACTCAACCCAGTGAATGTGAATTGTATTCCGAAATCTATTGGGAGGTATTGAAAGATTTTAAACAGTATGGCCAGATATGTTTAAAGATATTTAAAATACGGTCGGGCCGGCCCCATGGCTTGGTGGTTAAGTGCGCGCGCTCCGATGCTGGTGGCCCGGGTTCGGATCCCGGGCGCGCACCGAGGCACCACTTCTCCGTCCATCCTGGGGCCGAGTCCCACATACAGCAACTAGAAGGATGTGCAGCTGTGACATACAACTATCTACTGGGGCTTTGGGGGGAAAAAATAAATAAATAAAATCTTTAAAAAAATAAATAAATAAAATACGGTGGCCGTGTGGAGTTTAAGTTGGAGGGAGCTGGACTGGATGCCAGAAGACCAGGTAGGGGACTGTTGAAGTGGCCCAGGCTAGAAGTGATGAAGCCTGGCATAGATGGTGGAGGATGGGCTCAGTAGGACTTGATGGAAAAGGGGTGAGGGAGAGAGGGAGGAATCTGGGGAGACTTCTAGGTTTCTGCATCTGATTGGATGGTGAATATCAGAGCTATTTTTGATCACAGAGATTTATTTCCATGTACACCATTGGTGTTTTCCAGAAAAATGATATTTCTAGTAATATTTTATAAGTGGAATCATGACTGTAATGCACTAGACGAGTACCCGGTTTGTAGCAGTGTGATCACAGCCTTATTAAGAGTGGAGTTCTTGGGGCCCGCCCAGTGGCGCAAGTGGTTAAGTGCACATGCTCTGCTGCGGCGGCCCGGGGTTCGCCGGTTCAGATCCCTGGCGCGCATCCCGTGTGCGCACCGATGCGCCGCTTGTCAAGCCATGCTGTGGCCGCGTCCCATATAAAGTGGAGGAAGGTGGGCATGGATGTTAGCCCAGGGCCAGTCTTCCTCAGCAAAAAAAAAAGAGGAGGATTGGCAGATGTTAGCTCAGGGCCGATCTTCCTCACAAAAAAAAAAAAGGGGGGTGGAGTTCTTGGGTGCCAGGGGCTCTTTTTTGAACTCCATGAAATATCAAAATAGGTACCAGAGTTTATGCTAAATTAAATACCATTGTACTAGATATTGTGGCAAGAGCTCAGACTTAGGAGCCTGAGTTTGAGTCCTGCTCTGGCCAGTAGTAATAGCTATGTAGTCTTGGGTAGGGTGCTGTAACTTCCCTAAGCCTGCATTTCCTCATCTGAAATATAAGAAACTAGTATGTTGACTGTTGTCATCGTTATCATCACAATAGCTGATATTTGTTCAGTGTTTAATACCTGCCAGACACTATTTAAAGTTCCTTACTTGGATCATCTCATTCCATCCTCAGAACGACCCTACACGTGAGGAACTATTGTTATCCTGACTTTACAAATGGGAAACCTGAGGCATAGAGTTCAACTAATCTGCCCCAGGACGCACAGCTGGTGGGGAGCAGATGGAGCTTTGAACGGAGGCCGTCTGAGTCTAGAGCCTGTGCTCCCCTCTCTGCTAGAGTTAGTTTAAGTGCTTATTAAACATGTTGGGACCCTCAGGACACAGGAGTGATTTTTAATAAAGCTGAGTGTATTAATTAGTCAGAGTTCTCCAGAGAAATAGAACAATAGGATGTGTACATAGAGAGGAAGAGGTTTGTTTTAAAAAATTGGTTCATGGAATTGTGGATGCTTGGCGAGTCCAAAATCTGATGGAGGAGGCTGGCAGGCTGGAGACTCAGAAAAGAGTTGGAGTTTGAGTCCAAAGGCATTCTGTTGTAGAACCAGGAAGAGCTGATGTGGCAGATGAAGCTGAAGGCAGTCTGCTGGAGAAGTCCATCTTACTCAGGGAGGTTGGCCTTTTGTTCTCTTCAGGCCTTCACCTGATTGGCCATGGCCCACCCACATTATGGAGGGCAATCTGCTCTACTCAAAAAGTCCACCAATTTAAATGTAAAGCTCATCCAAACAAAAACACCCTCCCAGAAACCTCCAGAATAACGCTTGACCAAATATCTGGGCACTGTGGCTCCAACAAGTTGACACATAAAATTAACCATCACGCTGAGCAACAGCAGACATCAAAAGTTTAAGAAGAAATATATGGAGAGAAAAATATTAAAATTGAAAACACTGTATCCCTTATCTTAATTGCATCTGGGAATTGGGAAGAGGTTACCGATATTCTGTGATAGTGACAGAATTCCTTGGCCTAGCTTATGGAACATGGGTCTCTGGGGGTTCAATGCCTTGTAATATTGGAGTTGGAAAGAGTCTTCAGTTTCCTCTATTTCAGCTTCCCTCTCAAGATGTTAATGCTGTCCATGGAATGTCAGAAAGATGACACTTGAATACCTCCGGGAGCTGGCTGTTCATTACCATGTAAAACAGCCACCGCCACTGTTGGACAGCTTTAATTGTGAAAAATGTCTCCTTTATGGTGAACAAAATTATCTGCCCACAGCACCTTCCTTTGTCCTGCAGAGCTCCTCGCAGTCCATCTGTACCTTTGCTGTGTGACTCTCCTTCAGATATCTGAAGACGGCAGTCACGGTTCCTGGCACGGGGCCTGCGCTCTGCTGTCAAATAGCTCTGCTGTTGGGAGAGCTGTGGCCCTCCTCATGTGCCTCTTCTAAATTGGAATTTTGGTTTTTTGTCAGAGCAGTATATTTTAAATTTTTAGTACTTTAGAGTGAATCAGTATATCAGATTTTGAGCATTCAGGTGGTGATAGTAGTAAGGACCTTGCAGGGGTGGGGAAGGAAAAGATAATTACATTGACTGCCTTCTGTATGTATGTTTCTGTGTGTGTATTTATATGCATATATATGTTATTATACATAATACATATGATATATAATTAATCTAATCCTGTAATCCTATGAGGTAAATCTTGTTAGCTGTACTTTTTAGATAAGAGAAGGCAGACTCAGAAGAATCTAGTGATTTGATGAAGCAGCCCTCTAGTGGAGGGACCGGGATTTGAAACCTTTCGATGTGACTTCAAAACTGAGGCTTGTTTAATATCAGGCTGAGAGTTGGGCGTGGCTATTGCAAAGTGGATGATGCAAAAGAGCTTGGTCTTTCCTACATCTTGATTTTCCATTAGAGCAGCTCCTCCTCTGTCTGTGTAGCTGGAATAAGGATGTTACTTCTGTGTTCATTATGTTTTATTTTACCTCTGACAGTTACTTGCTGGACAGAAGAAAAGCTCCCCCTTCTGGACATTTGAATACTATCAGACATTCTTTGATGTAGACACTTATCAGGTTTGTAAACCAGTTTCACTTTCCATTTTATATGTAACGGAGACTTGTTTCTTTTGTGGTTAAACAATCAAATAATGTGAAAGACTTTGTGTACTGGATATGGTCTTCAAAACTAAAGAGTTTTAACATTTGAAAATACCATTATCATAAAAGCTCTAATAACTGAGTTTCAATTTCCAGTAGTTGAATTTATTAAACTTTAAGAAGAAGTCATCAGTAGACTGACTACTCTGCTGTTTTCCAGGTCTTTGACAGAATCAAAGGGTCCCTTTTGCCAATACCAGGGAAGAACTTCGTGAGGTTGTACGTCCGCAGCAATCCGGACCTCTATGGTAGGTGTGGTGCCGTTTTGATTCTTTGCTTTGGAACAGCTGAACTCAGTGAGTGTGCGGGTTGCCTGCAGGGTTAGAGAAGTGCACAGTTCGCAGGGCATGCCATGTTCTGTTTCACTCTTCTGAGCTTTGGTAGCAAGCTTTGCAAAGAATTTTGGAGAAAATGCAATTATACATTATATTAATGCCATGATTACAGGTAATAGTATGTCCTTTGAAAGTCTTCAGAGGACATTATGGACTTGAAACAAATTAAGTCACTTTGTCTAAGAGGAAATTGTTGACTTTAATTTTAGAGGATTTGGCGGTGTGGGTGAGCGTGGAAAAGGTACTCTCACACTTATTCATTGATGTGCTGAGCTCCAGCTCTGCCCGCAGACGGGCTGGCATTCCTCAGGATTCAGTGAGCATCACTGGAAGTCTGTAAGAGGGGTGGGCCAGGGCATGACATGACTATCATCCCCGACCTCCCTGCTATCTGAGAGAAGGTCAGAGGTCCTGAAGGAAAGGGCTCCAACAACAGCAGCTTTTGCTTGAGTGAGACGCCATTAGAGGGTTTGAGCAGAGCAGTGACATACTCCAAGTCAGCTTTTCATAAACAGTGATAAAGTGTTGTCAGGAATGTGGAGCAGTGGGAACTTTTATGTATCTGGTGGGTGTGTAACTGGTACACGATTGGAGCAGTTGGAAGATGCTTATACCCTGCAACTTAGTGGGTCCACTCCTAGACATACATTCTTAGAGAAACTGACATACATAAAAGAGACTTAGAGAAGAATGTTGTTTACTGCAGCAGCATTGCTTGTCATAGCAAATATTTAGAAACGACCAAAGTGTTCGTCACAGGAAAATGCATAAGTAAATTGTCGTGTATTCATCCATGGAATTCTGTAGTTTTTAAAAATGAATGAGATCTATAAGCATCAACATGGATAAATCTCAGAACAATGGTAAATGAAAAAATGCATGTTGTAAAAGGATACGAATGGTATGACACCATTAGAAAGATTTGAAAAAGTGGCATGATGAGTACACCAGTGTTTGTTTTATCATTCTTTGTGCTTTTCTGTGTGTGAGAAATATTTCATAATATAAAAATGTGTAATACAAACTAAATTAAGGCTCCCTCCCACCCCACCCCGTAATAAGAGTGGGAATTTGGCAGGAAGAGGAAGAGAGAAGGCACCGTGAAGCAGCGTGGCAGGCCCTGGGATGAGTAGGTGGTTGTGTGTCTCTGGCACCCCAGCTTCCCGTGTGCCTGCGTGCGCCAGAGGCAGCAACTGTGTCATGCGCATCATCGTGTCCCCAGCACCTAGCCCGGGGCCTAGAGGACAGTGGGTTCTTAGTAAACAACGGCCAATAGGATATGGTAGTCTCTGCTTTCTAGTTATAGCTACTATAATATTTTGGCCACTTGTGGTCGTATGCTTGGATGGTCTCAGCCCGTTGGCGACACATGGGCAGTCTTGTTCATTTGTTCAACAAAGCTTTGGGGGATGTTTTATGGTTTTTGGTTGTAGGATTTTTTTTTTTGTCTTTTTTGTTTGTTTGTTTGTTATATCTTTTGTATGCTAGGCACTCAGAATAATACAGTGAACAAGGCATAGTCCTTGGCTGTAGGAGGGAGCTTGCAGGCTGGTGGGTCAACAGCCGTGTGTGGAAAGCCGATGTTGGTGACTCTCTGGAGCATCCCGGTCGAGTGCTTGTGCTTCCTTCCCCACCTTCAGGAACCAGCTTGGCTTTGAAAAGTGCTAACCCATTTCTGTGAGCCATCTCCCCCAACACAATAATTTTCTTAATTTTGTGGTATGTCAAGGTGCCTGCAGTTATCCCAAAAGGTATTGCAAAATGTTAGTGACATTCAAAAAGAAATTAATAAAATTTATTAAAATCTGTCAATTTAAAAATTATATTTGTTGAATAGTACTTTTTCTAGATGGGGAAAAACAAGGATGGTGTTCATGAAATCAAGTGAAATGATGAAAGGGATTTGCAAAGCATGGTGTACTCATCCACTCAGTGGAGGATTTTATAATCACTAAAAAAGAATAAGCTGATTTTTATGAATAGCTATGGTAGAATCTCCAGGATATATTAAGGTGAAAATATATATGTGTGTTATCATTTGTATAAAACGTGCGCACACACTCACAAATACGCATCTGCTCATGTGTATAGAACTCTCTGGCAGGATTCACCAGGAACTGGTTACAGTGGTGAGCCCTGAGGAGGGAAATGCACAGCTAGAGAATGGAGAGAGAAGGAAGTTTACTTTTCTTTATATTTCCTTTTGTACCTTCTGAACACTGAACTATGTACATGTATTACTTTCTCATTAAAAAAAATAAAGAAGGGGCCGGCCTGGTGGCCTAGTGGTTAGGTTTGCATGCTCTGATTTGGCGGCCCAGGGTTCGCAGGTTAGGATCACGGGCACGGACCTACTCACTGCTTATCAAGCCATGCTGTGGTGGCGTCCCACATGTAAAGTAGAGGAAGATGGGCACAGATGTTGGCCCAGGGCCAATCTTCCTCAGCAAAAAGAGGAGGATTGGCAACAGATGTTAGCTCAGGGCTAATCTTCCTTGCCAAAAAAAAAAGGGAGAGAAAAGAAAACCTTAAATATACACACACCCCCTTCCCACCCCCCATGGTGAATTATAGATTAAATTAACTCTTTCCTAAAATGTTCTGCTTGCCCTGCTGTTCCATTTAGACTGCAGAAGGACCTGTCTGACTTAAGTTATTTTTCTCTGGCATTAACATTTCACACTTAGATAAAGGAAGTAACCTTTGCTTCCTGTATCCTGATAGAGAAGGTTTAACAAAATATCCATGAATTTTTTTGGATGATCCTTCAATATAACAAACTATAAACAAATCAGTGTCTTTATTCACCTAATCATGGAATATGTTTTGGCCTTTGTATTCCAATCCCCCATCTTTAAGGCAGCTAATTACTGAGTTGTATGTTTGACCTTTTAAAAAAGAAAATTTCCACTAAACGAGTATTGATTACCTCTGAAATTCATTTTCCCTTGCTTACATGAATAGGGCAAGGGAGATAAGGAATTATGCTATAAGAGTCTAAGGGATGGTGCTTCATTTTCTGGTTTCCTTTGCAGGCCCGTTTTGGATCTGTGCCACTTTGGTCTTTGCCATAGCGATTAGTGGGAACCTTTCCAACTTCTTAATCCATCTGGGACAGAAGACATACCATTATGTGCCCGAATTCCGAAAAGGTTGGTGAGTAGCTTGTACATTGGAATGCTGTCAGTTTGTAACCATGAGTTCCTTTTACCCATTGAGCTCTCAGCACCCTGTCTCTAGGTGCTGCAGCCCCTGCTTTCTGTATTCAAGGGTTCGAACGTACCTACTGTCTTGAAATTTACCACCCATCTATATAAATCCACATATTCTTTTTTTTTATTGTGGTAATTTTTTAACCTTTTTTTTGTGTGTGTGTAAGGAAGATCAGCCCTGAGCTAACACCTGATGCCAATCCTCCTCTTCTTTTTTTTTTTGGCTGAGGAAGACTGGCCCTGAGCTAACATCCATGCCCATCTTCCTCTGTTTTATATGGGACGCCACCACAGCATGGCTTGACAAGTGGTGCGTTGGTGCGTGCCTGGGATCTGCACCTGTGAACCTGGCGCTGCTGCAGCGGAGTGCATGCACTTAACTACTTGCGCCACCAGGCTGGCCCCCTTAACCATTTTTAAGTGTACGATTCAGTGGCGTTAAGTACATGCACAATATTGGGAATCCATATAATCTTTTGGAAAACTGTAAGGCGAGGCCAAATAGCAATTGGAATTTATCCAAAGAAAAATGTACAAAATAAGCAAAAAGCCGTGTGCATGAAAGTCTCAATTGTAACATTATTCATGTTATCCAAATGTTGGAGACAATAGGGGCATTGTTATTCGAGTCATAATAACTCAACTAGCTGGGTCTGTAGCCACTAATTATGAAGCACTTACAGCAATGTGGAAAACCGATCATCCAAACTTATGCCAGTGCTGTTAGCAACTTTGTTAAGGAGAGGTCTGCAAATGGTCAGGGCCTAGAAGGGAAAATGCAGAAATGAATGTGTCCTAGTGATGGGCTTGTGGATGACATTCTTGTTTTAAAACTTCATTTCTAAAAAAGAAAAGGGACTTGCAGATGACAGCCACCCCAAAATGAGAAAGTTTGGCTTTGTAGGAGATTGACCTATGCCACTTTCTGAGTTCTCTCCTTCCCTCCCTCCCCGGCTGCCTGCTCTCCTGTCGAGAGGCTGTGCGTAGACTGTACAGGAGCGTGGGTCCTGGAACAGGCCGCTGGCTGCAGGTTCCAGCCCCACCACTCACGGGCTCCTACCTTGTTGGGCAAGTTATGTCATCTCTCTTGGCTTCAGATTCCTTATCAGTGAAATGGGAATAATAATACCTACATTATAGGGCTGTCATAAGAATAAAGAGTTGATACATGTAAAGAGGTTAGAGTAGTGCCTTGTATAAAAAAGTGTTCAGTAAAGATCAACTATTGCTATTTATAGATATACGTAAATGTGTGTCTATAGAGATAAGGATTTTCCTCTGTGTGTGGGTCCATGTATCCTTCCTTCTTTTCCTCCCCTCTACCTGCCATGCCCATTTTCCCTTCTTTTCTTTCCTTGTCCATCATGGAGTCAGACCTGGATTCACTGCCAACTCCATTTATCAAATGACCTTGGTTTGAGTGTAACTCAATAAATGTTACCCATGAGATATTGACCCTGCCTTCAAGTAGCTCAATGGTTAAGTAAAGAAAGACAGATAAATGAATATTGCTGTAGATGGTGGGTGTTAATTTCTGTATGAGAGGTATGTATAAGTATACTGACAGAGAAGAAGGAGTGAATCACCCTGCCTGAAGGTCTGTAAGCTCAGGAGGGTCTTTATCTGTTCTTATCCTCTTTGGCTGAGCATCCCAGTATCAGGCAGTACATACATGGGATGTATGTACCAGTAAAATAGCCATTGGCCGTATCAATAGACATTTTTCCATTTTTATGTAAAGAGTGTAAGTCTCACTTCCAGGGTCAAATCCTGCTTCTGCCTCTTAGCTTCTCTGATCCTGTTTATTCATCTCTAAAATGAAGATATAGATTATATGAAATAATGTATTTACATATCAGTTAGCAATATAAAAAGCTAATTCCTAATTGAGCATTTATTAATCGGTGTTCTAAGTATACCAGATTTTACTCCTTTAATTCTCCTAATAATCTTATAAGGTAGTATAGTATTATTATTCCTGCTTTACGGAGGAGGAGACTGAGACAGGAAGGTTAATAACTCACCAACCAGGGTTGCTTAGCTCTAAGTGGCAGAGCTAGGAGCAGAGACTGTGCAGTCTGCATGCAGAGTCTGTGCCCTCGACTGTTACACAATGTTACCTCTCAATAAAGCACTCAATGTAATGGACACCCAGTGGGTAGCTGTAACCATAGTGGTAATTCCCTTCCCTTTCCTTTGGTTATCCAAGAAAAAGGCAATATGTCAGCAGAATTACATTTGGCTTGATGAAGGAGTTCCCAACATGAAAAAACTGCTCTGGGAGCTAAAAATGTTTTGGACAATCACATGTCTTAACCAGAGTCTGACTGTAATTGCTAGGGGTACCTTTGTTCTTGCCAAGAGCGTTAAGTGAATTACCTGCTGGTTTTCGTGTAGAAAGGGCTGGTGCCATGGGCTTAGCCACGCTTTATGATCCTCCACTCCAGAAGAGGGAAAATGAATCCCCTAGGGCGTGCTGCTGCTGGAGGAGGAGGAGCAGGGAGCTGCAGTAATATACTGAGCACTGCTGTTCTGAGGAGCCACTACATAGCGTTTCCACCGCAGAGACAGAATTATTTAAAGAAGAAAGTGAAACTAGACAATTTTTCAAGCAACTCGTCAATGAGCTTGAACTCCCTATTTCAGAGACAGAAGGAACTCTAAATCGCATGCAGAGCAAGTTAATCTGTACCCAGGGCATTGTAATAAATTTGCTGAAGAAATCACTGTCAGCTCTCATTATACTAGGAAAGAGGACGTATTCTTGAAGGGGATAGTTGGCTTTTGTTTGATTGAAATGCTCAGTGTATTTAAACACTGGTGGTGTGGCCCTCTGAAGTATTTCAGTTGCATAATTCAGTTGTTTAATAATACTAGTTGGTAGTTATTAAACAAATTGTAAAAACCATATGAGAGACTACTAGTCATCGCCACAAACACAGATGCTCGTGGTTCATCCCTTCAGTACATTTATAGAGTGCCTACTGTGTGTCGGGTACCGTGCCAGGCTCAGGGGTCATCAAGGTCAGCAAGACACGACCCCGTGGTCCAGACAAGTAGACAGGCATGTTATGAGATAAGTCCAGTAAGGTACTAAAGTGCTCTGATAGTACTTTAAAGGCATGGTGGGGATGAAAACTTGTGTCCTGTCCCCCTCAGTGTCCATAGCAGCCACAGTCATCTACGCCTATGCCTGGCTGGTTCCTCTCGCACTCTGGGGTTTCCTCATGTGGAGAAACAGCAAAGTTATGAACATCGTTTCCTACTCATTTTTGGAGATTGTGTGTGTCTACGGATATTCACTCTTCATTTATATCCCCACAGCAGTAAGTACCATACTTATTCTCAGCGACGCCTTGTTCTTGGGTGACAGTTCAACCAGCATCATTATTTCTAGCCTAACAGTGATGTGTGCCTGAAAAATACCTTTTGGATTTAGAAGTTCCGTAGGAGTCGGGGCTGAGGAGCCACGTGCCTTCCCTGGCTCTCGAGCCCTTCATTGTGAGAGCATTCCCCTCAGTCTGCATGCTGTTCATGTTTCTCCAGGCTGTACTCAGAAACCAGGGTGGGGGGGGGCCCAGCTGCTGCTTAGCTCAGGGCTTTTATAAACGTATGTGCCTGGAATGAACAAAGGCCTCCCTGAAAGGCCTCCAGAGAAACCCTGCCCTCCCTCCTTTTCTTTCAGATACTGTGGATTATCCCCCAGAAAGCTGTTCGTTGGATTCTAGTCATGATTGCCCTGGGTGTCTCAGGCTCTGTCTTGGCAATGACGTTTTGGCCAGCTGTTCGTGAGGATAACCGGCGCGTCGCGTTGGCCACAATTGTGACAATTGTGTTGCTGCACATGCTGCTTTCTGTGGGCTGCTTGGTATGGTCTCATTCCTGTGTTCCTCTGGTATGCTTTAGATGCAAATGCTAAGAGACCTCAAACTGTTAGACATAATGGTTCTTTTAAAACTGGCCTCATGAAATAAACATTTTTAATAGACTCTCCTAGATGCGAAGTGGTAAAGTTACGAGAATTTGATTGTAATCTCTGGCTTTACCTAATTTCTGAAATTTGGTTAATTTGAATTTTGGTGTCTAACCAGAGGCAGTGGGGGCGGATGAGTGTCTGTGAATAGGTTGGTGAGCGGGATGCGGGGAGTTCTGCCTTTGGATGCCTTTGCTGGTTTTCTGCACATCCCTAGAAAGAGTTTGGAAATTTAAAATTTCATAGGTGGAAAGCTTGAGGATGAAGTCAAATATAGGAAAAGGGAGTTATTTTTGAGGTGAATATTTAAAACAGTTTTTGAGTTCATGTGTTGAGGTGTCTTTTTAGGGAGAGCATGTGCTTTTGAGTCAGACAGGCCCAGATTGAAGACAAGCTCTGTCACTCCCTGGCTCTGTGAGCTTGGGCGTGGTACCTAACTTCTCTGAATCTGAGTGTCTTAATCGGTAACATGGGTATAATATTTCCTGCCATATATGATTGTTCTGAGGATAAAATAAAGTAATACATATAAAGCACTTAACATAGAACTTGTCCCATAAATGCCCGTAAATTTGGTGCCTTTCCTTTGATCCTAAGGAGACATGGTTTTATATCTTCTGTACACATTATGCACAAAAATTGCTGTCCGTGGCCTTAACAAGGCCTGCACAGGTTTTAGAAAAAACCCTGAGTCTAAGAATGTTAAGGTCACTGATGAAGAAAGGGACACACCCATGGGAAGATGCCCACATAGCACATGTCCAGACCTGTGGTCAAGTTTTGCAGTTGTGGGAGTAAATATTTCCTTGACCCTATTTGATCTTTAATATTTTTGTGTAGACAACCATGCTCTTGTTAAGCACATTAGTAAGATCCCGATCCTTTATCACTGAACAAGTCTCATAAAAAGTGCCAGGTTCTGAAACACAGACCTGGTTTACATGCACTTTACTTGTGCCTAAACTTTAAACTCTTGAGACAGAGGACTGTTGCTTTGACTCATGGCAGAGCAACACTATTAATTTCTGGCACTTGGAACCTCTGGGCTGATCCCTTGAAATGCTGCTCTGACCCTTCTGTGACCCTCCCATCTGCTGGAGAAGAATGTCGTTTCCGTTGTAAGTGACTCACTGTAACGCTCTCACTGGCATCTTCCCGTCCCTCCCCTGAGTCTCGTTCCCATTGTATACCTAGCTGAGGAGTTGGTGAGGAGGAGGCAGGAGAAAAGGCATTGCCTTGTTCAGTTCTCCAAAGAATAGAGGGGGGCAGGGCACATGGGACAATGGAGCAGGGGAGTGTTGTTGTTGTTGTTACTATTATTATTTAGAACCTATTTCCTTGGGTACCTCTGGCAGGATCTTTTACCTCCTTTCCCTGTTACTCCCTTTTGGGGTAAATGACGCTGAAGTTAGGATTTACCTGCCCACCTTGCTACTCAGGAGCTTTCTGAAAGAGAGCATTATAATGGAGTAGAAAGAACACTGGCCTGGGGGCCGCCCAGCACTGTGAGCCCAGGCAGGTCCTTAACTCTCAGAGCCTTGGTTTCTTCATCAGTCAGGGAGATTCATGTTTTCGTGGGCTTTTATGAGACTCAATGAGATGGCTGTGAAGGCCCTTCTTATACTGTGAAGGGTGTTTCAGATGTAAAGAAGTGACTAAAAGAGGCTTGTGTCCTCAGAAGCTGCCAGGGCCACTCTGCTGCTTATTCTCCCCGAGTGCCCCAGGAAGAGGGGTCCGCGGTCACAGGACTCTAAGGACAGCGCCCTTTCAGTGCTGCCCCTCGCTGGCGTTCTCACATCTGTCTCCTGAACTTCTCGCCCGCTATATGCCTGGTTGAGAAGTTGGAGGAGAGAAGGAGGCAGGAGAAAAGGTACTACCCCGTTCAGTTCTCAGGGCCTCAGAGGAGCAGGGCAGAGTGGACGGTGGAGCAGGGGGGTCATTGCCGGTGTAGGACCTCTTCTTGGAGGGGAGGCGCAGTTTTCTCCTCCTCGAGGAAGGGGACCATTCCATGATTGGGGTTGAGCCAGGGGCCCGCTGGGCCTGGGGTTTTGTTCTCCACGCTGGAGGTCGCCTCCTCCTTTCCCTTCTGGAGGAGACGTGCCCTGCAGGAGGGCGGAAGCAGGGGCTAGGAGGCGGGGTCTAGTGCCAGCTCCGTCACTCCCTGCTTTAGTTATTTCCCCTCTCTGGATCCCCACCTTCTCACTTAGAAAAAGGAGCTGTAGTGACATCTTTACTGTTGTAAGGATTGACTGATATGTGCAACATGAAAAATATGACACGCTGTACAAACGGAAGACATTACTATTATTGGAAGGGCAGGGAGAGGAATTAGCAGGGGAGTTAGTTGAGCTGAGGGGCACTGGCTGAACCAGACAGCCTGGCTGCCTCACTCTCCCCTGGGGAACACAGGTGGGTGTTTTTGCCTTAGTGCAGCGAAGCATATGACAGCCCTACACCTGCTGAGGGCCCTCAGCACTCACCCCTGTACCTGATCTCTAAGTTGGCACGGGAACACACACACCAGAGGTTGCGTCCTCGGCTGGTGTGTTTGAAGATGTACAAGCCTGTGTTTGAGGTGGTCACTGCTGACAGCAGAGGGACCTATGCCCTAACTTTCTGCCAGGTGACACTCCTGCCTCTACTCCTAGACAGCCTGCTGATTGATCCTGAGGCCCCACAGTGCTAGATCTGGGCTGGGCATAGAGTAGTGCCGAGTTGCAGGCTGCCTTGGAGAACAGAAGAACATAGACTTTGGAGCCAGACACATAGTTGTGTGGCCTTGGGAAAATTTATATCTCTTTGAGCCTCAGCTTGCTCACCTTTAAAATGGGGATAAAATAGCCTCTTACAGGGTTATCAAGTAGGTTAACCATCAGATACGTGCCTAGCACACAGTGGGCACTCCCCAGTGATAACTGTATTATTATTAAGTATTCGTGGAATTAATGAATCATAGAATTATAACTCAGCCTTAGAGTTTTTCCAATCTTTTTGTTTTACAGATAATACTGAGGCCCACACAGGGGTAGACGACTTGTCCAAGTCACAGTGCAGTTACTAGGAGAGCCAGGTGTAGAACCTGGGCCTCTGGCTCATTCCATCTGATGAGGGTTCCTCCAGTAGCCTGGCAGAAAGGCGTTGTTCCTGCATCCTAGGGGCTTCGTGGCTCAGTGCACCTGCGAGATAACTGGAGGGGACCCTGTCCCCACTGTAAGTCAGGGACTGTTCTTTCCCTGCCTCAGAAAACAGCTGCTGGAAGGGGCCCTGGAGAGGAAGGCTTTTAAAACTAATCGAGTTGCTCTGAGAACGTGACCAGCTAGAGGGAGTCTGCAGCTGGAAACTCTCTGAGAGGGCCTGTTGACGAGTTACCATGGACTGGGAGGATGTTGGGGTAGCTCTAGTGTGTCGTGTTGGTGCCCCACTCCTGGCTGATAGAGAGCAGAGCTGGTGAAATGGTTCTTGACTTTGTGGCTTTTTATCTTCTTCTTCTTCTTTTTTTTTTTTTTGTGAGGAGGATTAGCCCTGAGCTAACATCTGTTGCCAATCCTCCTCTTTTTGCTGAGGAAGATTGGTCGTGGTCTAACATGTGTGCCCATCTTCCTCTACTTTATGTGTAGGACACCTGCCACAGCATGGCTTGATAAGCGGTGCATAGGTCCGCGCCCGGGATCCGAACCTGCGAACCCCAGGCTGCCAAAGCAGAGCACGTGAACTTAACCGCTGCGCCACAGGGCCGGCCCTTCTTTTTACCTTCCTGATGCCGTGACTCCAGGGGGAGTCATGAGTGAGCAGTCGTCTTGACTTATTAATGGACTCACCTTTCCTTTGAGCAACCAGCGTTCAAGGCTAGTGAGACTGGTATTTTCCTGGGTTGAAGTTAGGATTCTCAGACCTCGAAACAAGCGGGAAGATCCTCCTTGGTGTTTTCCCTCTTCCACCTCCTTCTGATTTTTGACAGTTAAATTGTAGATGGTGAGAGGAAGCGCTTATCAAACCTTTCATTTCCAAGGTGAAGAATTATGAGATAAGGCCTGCCTAGCACTTTCTCTTACAGGTCTTTACAGGGAGCCAGCTGGTTCAGCAGCACTCTGTCTTGATTGTGTTCAGTAAGTCCTGATTGTTTACGTGGCGTGCCAGGCCCTGTGCAAGCGCTGTGACATGGAGACGAGGAGGATGCGCTCTTTGGGGAGAGTCCGTCGAGTGTGGTGATCAGGAGCTTGAGCTGTGGACTCAGCAAGACCTGGCTCTGCGTCCTGCTCCGCCACCCGTTAGCCATGTGACCTGGTCCAACGACAGCCTCTCTGAGCCTCAGGGTCTTCATCTGTCAAATGAGGATAATAGTAATGACCTCACAGGGTTGTTATGAAGAGTAAGTCATATGTAGTAAGTACTCAATGAATAGCAGCGAAATTTAACAAGGCATTCACAGCCGAGTAAGTGAGACGGACAGAAACAGAGATAGTCGTAGTTCAGAGTGATGACCAGTGTGGTAGGGGACACGTAGGGGCCACGAGGGCCCAGAAGGACTATTAGCGTGGAGTCTAGGACACTCCCTGGACCACTGTTTTTTTAACTCCCCTCATGGGTCTCGTTTTCCTGCAGGCCTACTTTTTTGATGCACCAGAGATGGACCATCTCCCAACAACCACAGTTGCTCCAAACCAAACAGCCAAGTCCAGCTAAAAAGGAAAGTAAGAAATGATACTTTTATCTTCTTGATGTGTGGTACAGTGAAGTGGGCAGGTGCATCAAGAGCAGAGAGGGCCAGACCCTTTGTTCTGTCTGCACAGTTTAGTGGAGTGTGTGTGCACGTGTGTCTGTGTTTGTGTTTCCCTCTTGTTGAAGGCTTCAGTTGTGAAATCCACCTGATCTGGCTTTAGAGATCTGGGCAACATGAGCTCTTAGACTCTTCTGTAAGAGGAGGTCCTACCTTGTGGTCCCAACATCCCCTCTCCTCTACTCCCTGTCCCCTTCCCAGCAACACAATATGGGTTTGTTCCATTTGATTACAGTCCTGGTGGTTTTCTCCAGTGTCTCTGTGACTTCTCAGGCTGGCCTCAGACCCCTGAGTGTGACCTCTCTTGAATTATTCATGGGGTTCTCCAAAGCTTACAAATTCTCATGCCTGGTTTGTTCCCAGGGCCTCTTGGATGAGTCCAATGTCAGTGGTTAGTTCACTGGGTCAGAGTACAGGAAAAAGACCTGGTTCCTCCATGGCTTGTTCCATTCCTCCCTGTTACACCTCCACAGTATGTCAAGGCTGCAGCCGTGCTGAACGTCTTGCCGTTGCTGAAACACGTCACGCCTTTGCACTTGCTGTTCCAGTTGTCTGAATGTTCCTTCCTTTCCAACAGTCATCACTTACCTTGTCATCCCATTACACCTTGTATTATACATCACTCTAATGGTGCTTGAAACACTAATCGTTCACTGTCTGTGTGTCCATCTGCCTGTCCATTCGTTCACTTGTTTATTCATTCATTAGTCCTCTGTGTACTGGTGTGTCCCCCCATTAGACTCAGCTCCATTTGAACAAGGAATGGGTGTTACTCTGCATCTTCATTGCCCACCACATGACCTGGTATACAGTGGGTGCTCAGTAAATATTTGTGGAATGAATGAATGAAGCCACACTCTGCACATGATCTCCCTGTGGGCCAAGAACTTTGACTCGGACCTTTCTGCCCATGCTGCTGTCTCCCAGAGCAACAGGGTGTGGTGCAAAGACCAGGGCCTTTAGAGTCAAATAGAATTAAAATTAAATCCTGGCCCTGCCGTGTACTAGCAGTGTGCCTAGGGCAAGGGCTTACTCTCTCTCAGCCTCAGCTAACTTAACTATGAACTAAGGATGATACAGCCTATACTGTAAGATTGTAGTGAAGATTAGAGATCCTCTTATAAAAGTTCCTGGCCCGTGGTTAAGGTGCTCAGTAATAGAACCAAAGCTCCTCCCCTCTGAGAGTGGGTCAGTAATTTGTGTTGAAACTTGGTGGTTCTCACTGACTTTACCTTGACCCTTTATTTCCTTTTTGTAAAACAAATGGAGATTTTCCCTCTTAGTTGAGGAATTTAGGTTGCAGTCCCTGAGAGCTGACAAAATGTGATTGGCCAAACAATGGCCCCTCCGGTGGCCTTGTTGGTAAGATAGTCACCCTGCCCAGTGGAATGAGTAGGGAAGTATTGTAAATGTCACAGCCCGCCTTCCCCCCTTCATCCCTTTACGTGGGTATGCAATGTTAGAATCAAGAAGTCAGAGCCCTTGGAGAGAGCATGGGCTTCGCTCCTCTTTTTACAATAAAGAAGCTGGCTGATGTGTATATCACATCCCATTTTACAAAACGTTTTCTGGATCACTCTCATTGGCCACTCTTACCAGCCTTGTTGACCCCACTGTATAGATGAGGAAGCTGGGCTTATAAGTCTGAGTTGACTAAGATCACCTACCTCTTAGAGGCAGAGCTGAGACTCAAACCCAGGTGTTGGGGAGCCAATTCCTGAGGTTTTTCCACTTTCCCACTTTTGAGACTGATGTTCTTTTTTTTCTTGTGAGGAAGATTAGCCCTAAGCTAACATCTGTTGCCAGTCCTCCTCTTTTTGCTGAGGAAGATTGGCTCTGGGCTAACATCCCATGCCCACCTTCCTCTGCTTTATATGAGATGCTGCCACAGCATGGCTTGACAAGCGGTGCATATGTCCCCCCCCGGGATCTGAACCTGCGAACCCCGGGCCACCGAAGCAGAGTGCGCAAACTTAATCACTTCGCCACCAGGCCAGCCCCCAGGCTGATGTTCTTTTTACCACCAAAATTTGCAGGTTCCCCCTGCTGGCCTTTGGCCTTCTTTTGGAGCCCACATTTGCTGGTCTAGACATGCTTTTGTTCAGAGGTCTCCACACTTGTTTGATTGCACACCTGTCAATTAAGCATTTGAGGACTATATTAATTATCTATCGCTGCCTGACAACGTTACCACAAACTTAGCAGCTTAAACAACACGCAGTTATTACCTCACAGTTTCTGTGGGTCAGGAGTCTGGGATCGCTTAGCTTGGTTCTCTCCTTCGGGTTCTCTCACAAGGCTGCACTCAGTGTTGGCCTGGGCTGGGGTCCCCTCTGAAAGCTGGACTGGGGAAAGATCTTCTTCCAAGCTCACATGGTTGTTGGCAGGATTCACTTCCCTGGGGCCTGTTAGACTGAGGACCTCCTTGATGACTGTCAGCTGGAGGCTGCCCTCAGTTCCTTGCCACATAGGCCTCTCCATATGGTGGCTTACTTCATTGAGGCCATACATGAGGATAATCAACAGAAAGTCTGTTAGGAAGATGGAAGTTATAGTCTATGTAACGTGATCATGGAAATGACACCTATCACCTTTTGATTAGAAGCAAGTCACAAGTCTTGCCCACATTCAAGGGAAGGGGATTACGCACGGGCATGAATGCCTGGAGACGGGGATCATTGGAGGCCATTTTTTGTTTTATTTTATTTTAAGGCTCTATTAAGGTGTAATTGACAAATAAAATTGTAAGATATTTAAAATATATATCGTGATGGTTTGATACATATATACATTGTGTGGAGGCCATTTTAGAATCTGTCTGCCACAAGCACACACCCGTAGTGATATGTATATATTGGAAGTGTTTACATACACCATTGTCAATCCATATAATAACTATTAAAGCTTAATTCCTTATATTTTGATGAAAAATAAATATTAATAGAAGTTCTAATATTTTCCTTCCGCTATCTTAGTGGATTGGTTTTGGAGCTTACTGCCTTGGGATGAGCATGTGGTAGCTTGTTTGTATTATGGTGTAATTGTCTACATGCTTGTTCAGCTCGTCCAGCAGATGGATTCCATTGACTGCTAGCAGAGAAGGCCCTAGGGCATGGTGGGTCTCTTCCTTGATTGCGGTCTGTGGGGGAGGGACTGAGTCTTATTTGACTCGGACTCCCTGGTGCTTGGTCTGATGCCCGCCTGGCACAGACAGAGCGAGTGCTCAGTTAATGTTGGGTGGGGTGGAGGTGACCCTTTATAGGATGAAGGCAAAAGTCAGGAGGTGGGCTTTTACCAGAGGTGCCTTGGCTCGCTGAGTCCTGGATCATCATTTAGTCTCTCACTCAATGTTTATTTGAGGCTACTCTCTGGCCTCTGTGGGCCAGGCACTGGGACCTAGACAGTCAGGTACAGTCTGCCTCAAGGAGCCTTGGTCCATGGGCAAAACGGCTAAACAGATAATGACCATGCTGTGTGAGAAGCACCACAGCCAAGCTGTGGATTGATGAGCACTGTGGGAGAACAGAAGCAGTGACTCCTGTGGCCTGGGGGGAAGGCTTCACACAGAGGGGCTCATTTGATCCAGGTCCTGAAGGTTGAGCAGAAGCAATCAGTTACCTGTTTTTCTGAAAAGAGGAGTCAGCTTCCCTTGGCTTTTGGGAAGGCAAAGACATAGGCTGTTGATTGGGACACAGTGATGCCATGTGGGCTCACATCACTGAGAACAAGAAAATCTGAGCCCAGCAGGAGGCGACAGAGGTAGAGAACACAATGGCAACAGTTACCTGAGTCTCTGCCTTGGCCCAGAATACCCCACATCAACCTGGTGAGGGGCTCTCAGCCTGTTTCCTGAGCTGGGACTTCAGTTCTTTCGTTATATTGTGGTTATGAAGGCTCCAAACCAAGTGTCCCAGGCGCTGTAAACCTTCAGAGAGTCAGAAGCTGGGGTCTGAGGAGAGTCTGACCCTTGGGGCCCTTGCTGAATTCCCATCCTGATTTACACAGATGTGACACTGCCGTGCTTTGCTCACATCTATAAACTTGGGTGTCAGCGCTTCCATTTGGGTGTCAAGTCTCCAAATGAGATAGTGGTGAACAGTTTCTTTGGAGCCTCCCTGGCAGAAGCATCAATTGCTTTGCCAACGAGAGGGGCCATCCAGAGCCCCAGACACTGCAGATTTATAAGCTGGCTGTGCCTTCTCCTGTAGTCTCCAGACTCCCAGCTTTCACTGAAAAAAAAAATGGCTTCTGATCTCACAGATAACCTTCCTCATGTAAATCTGCACATTGGTGGGCTTAACCTGGAATGGATTGCTGGGAGGGCATTAACCCCCTCTCTCCCTGGAACCTCAGGATCATAAGGGAGCCTCCAGTTACTTGTAATCAGGGAAGCTACCCCTACATAAGTCTTTGAGATATTATAAAAAATACCTGGGTTTCTTTTTTTTTTTTTTTTTTTGTGAGCTAACATCCATGCCAGTCCTCCTCTTTTTGCTGAGGAAGACCGGCTCTGAGCTAACATCTATTGCCAATCCTCCTCCTTTTTTTTTACCCCCAAAGCCCCAGTAGATAGTTGTATGTCATAGTTGCACATGCTTCTAGTTGCTGTATGTGGGACGTGGCCTCGGCATGGCCAGAGAAGCGGTGCGTCGGTGCGTGCCCGGGGTCCGAACCCAGGCCGCCAGTAGCGGAGTGCACGCACTTAACTGCTAAGCCACGGGGCCGGCCCCCTGGGTTTCTTGTTTCCTTTCTTCCTGCCTTCCTTTGCTCCTTCCTTCCTTTATTTATTAACTTATCATCTAAGGGCTGGTGCCATTTCTTCTCTGAGCCAAGACCCTGGTGAAGCCTGGAAACTGTATCTAGAGAGTCTTACTTTGGCTTAAAGGATGGAGTATCTGAGGACCGCACCCAGATTCGGGCTGCCCTCCCAGGGGCGGTGACAAGTGGGTCTGTCCAGAGGAA